TAATTTTGACCCATACAATGTATTTTTGGCTATTGCTACAAATATACCCCAGCGACTTAAGACTGGTTTTGTGCTCCAGGGTCACATTTATTAAATCTCAATTTAAAAAAAAAATCATCCTTATGACTGGTTTTGTGGTCCAGGGTCACATATGCTAAACTCACTTTCCCTTAAACATAAATTCAGTGGGTACAAAAAGTCTACACACCCCTGTTAAAACCAGTGCTGTTTGAAATATAAAAAATAATCCAAGATAAAACATGTTAAATCTTTTTACACCTTTTTTTTACACCTTTAATGCCAACAAAATCATAAAATAGATTTTTTTAAGGAAAAACTAAGAAAAATAAAATACTTAAAATAACTTTGTTACACAAACGTACCCCTCAACTCTTATTTGCTTGAAACACATTTTCCTTTTAATACAGCAGCCAGTATTTTTGAATAAGAATCAACTTCTTGATTTGTCATTTTTTGTCACTCATCCTTACAAAAGAGTTCCAGATTGATCATATTGGGGATCTCCTATGTACAGCCCTCTTCATGTCAAGTTTTTTTCGACTTGATTTATTTCTGGACTCTAACTGGAGAGAGAGAAAAACCCTTATTTTTCTAGAATACATATATTGCTATCTCATGCAGCTTCTCATATTACTGTAAGTTTATTTTGACAGGTGCCTTGTTTTATTGTAATGACATTGTTGTGCCCACACCACAGTGTGTGTTTGTGTTTCCTTGGACCGTCTACTCTTTTTGATGACATTAAAAGGTCATTTTAATTCAGGGTTAATCAGCATTACTTAAATTATGGGTACAATAAGACTTCGAATGTACTTTGTTCATTCCAAATACCATACCTTATTATAAAATGACATTCTTTTATTATTGTATATTCATACATCTCAGAACTGCCATTTTAACAGGGCTGTGCAGGGTTTTTTTTTTTGTACCCCACTGTACCTAATCGTCCTCCAAGAACTAAAGCAGTTCATGACAGTCAGAGAGATTGTTCTTTGACATTCAGGAAGGGTTTGAGATGCTGAAACCCTTCCGATGACACTTTAAATGTGGGAGGAAAATATGTGCAGGACCGTGCATTTGCAGGCAGATGTGTTCTGTGGTTCCAGCAGCTTGCGTACATTTTTTCCGCCATCTGTGTTTTGGAGTTTTGTTAGTGTTTTGGTAACACTGCCCTTCCCTGTTTTTGTTTGTTGAGGTTCATCAGAACCTGTGGCTCAACAATGACAGAAAACTGCTGTACTGTAGGTATTTCCGAAAACTAGGTTCAAAGTTTTCTTCCTGAAACAAGAACCAATAGGTCCTTGAGTTTACACCACATAACGTTTCAAATGTCTAATCAGGGTATTTAGGGAAAATAAACTATTACTCTTTAGGATATTTTCCATACTACCCTGCCTGATGCTTTTTCAACTTCAAAGAAAGTGAATGGAAATATGTCTGTGTGTGTGCGCGTGTGTCTGTCTGGCCCTGGCTGTGAAAACCCAGCTAAAGCCATTTTTTTTTGTAATTTACTGTTTTCTACATAAAATTATCCTTCATAAGGTAAAGAACATTCTATGAAAACGTAACCTTAATATCGACTCAGTAAGGCCATGTCAAATATTGAAATCATAGTGAAATTAATGTTTGAAGTCAAACTTTGATGCTTATGTCATACCTAGATTTTGAGAGTTTAGCCTGACTTTCACAGAGAGGGTCACACAAACGTTAAAAAAAAAAAAAAAAAAAGTTGAGAATTTAAGACAACTAGCTTCAGGAGATTTGAGTTCTCAACTTTGTCGTCTAAAGCCGGGCTCACACTACAGGATTGAAAGACTAGCCGATTCACTGTGTTGCTCACACTACACAAGATTTGTTCTCATCTGTCGTTGTCTTGTCATAGCTGCGCACCTACTACACAACGCTAATGAGGTACACACTATAAAACATTCAGTGAAGAGGTGTTCCCGACCATCAACGAAAATAAATTCTCGCGAGAAATTAGTGATTATAGGCCATATTTTAAAGCATGGACGATCAACTGGCCCTTCAATTGGTATGTGCAGTTATTTTAGCCGAAAGAAAGAAACCACGACAAAAGAGAATATAGCAGAAACAATGGCTTGGAAGATGTGGACAAGGACTGTCAGTACTGCAGAAAGAGTTGGAGGTAATTAAACGGTACAATGAAACGTGGTATTATATACACAATATGCATTTGTTAAATGTATTTCTAGTAAGTTGATTGGATTAATTTGTGGCTTTTCGTGTCCGTTCATAAAGATGCATGATAAGAGTGTTTATACCATCTGCACTGTGATTGGCTAGATTAGTTCCACCTTGTCATTGTGTCGCTCACATTACAAGATTGTGTGGCGATAATATCAAACAGGTTTGAAAATATCGTAGCGTCTGTGATAGCTCGAGACAGGTTCGGATCACGTTGCTGACCTGTGCTCTCTCTCGCGCACGCGCCACTTCTTCAGTTCTCATATACAGCGCGCGATCAGTTCTCAGCTCAAATACACACACAGCAGTCCAAATGTCTATCGTGTAGAGTATCTCACATA